ATTATTTCGTTTAACCCATATATGAGATGATAATTAGTTTTAAATTCAAAAGAACTTTTCAAATTCTGGTTTAGCGTAATATAAGATATTATGATCATAATGCAAATTTGTCATTTAATAAGGAAAATATTATCTTATAACCGGTATAACTGTATTCTACGAATGAATGTATTAATGAGAAACCAATAAACCTCGATAGCCGTCGATTGTGTGTTCAGAGCCCACAGCGTTATAACTGCCCCAATGGAAGTGCATTTGACTGAATATATATGCCTTGTTATTAGACGCCGACCCGTAAACAGTGATTATAAATTTATCACTAAAACCTATTTGCACTGAAAGTGATGTTACAAATTATTTGAAAGTATAATAAATTGCATCATTTTGTTTCCTAAAAGTGGGCACAAAGTATTGAATGCCTTACCTGTGTGTCCGTTATTCTCTATAAATGCCAGACGTATTGGTTTCCTATAATTACGGAAATTGAGGTGCAATTCCTGAGACGTGGCGTCGGCGGTGACGAGTCTAATGGGCGACTGTTCTTCGCCTCCACAACCACTGAAGCCATGCTTTGGCCAATTCTCACCTCATTTGATGCAATAATTGTAAAATAAATACTTTAAGTATAATTACGATAAGCATTAAGTATTAATCATTAAGAATCTTAAGAGTTATTTTGAGATAATTACATATTAATGTCATAATTCATGAAACATCATGTCATTAATATTAAAATTATTAAACAAAAATAATCCTAATATACTGTATACTTGATTGAATAAATATACAAGAATAGTGAGCAAATAATGAATGTAAATGTACCATAGTGCCATTTTTTACCATGAGCCGGTAATTTTTTGCTGATGGAAGTGCCCGACGATAATACCTTATTCTGAGGCGACTTTAACGGCTTCTTAACTACAGATGTCTTCTTTTGTGTCAACACTTTATCGCATAAATTATTAAATAAAAATAGGAAACAAAATATGTTATAAGTGAACAATATTTGGCCCAAATGTATAGCCATTTAAACAATTAAATAAAACTAAAACATGATTTAGAAAAATATAAATTATTGAAATGATTGTTACATTCATTTGTCAACCGTTTGTTTTTCAATGCCTTTAAAATCTAAACCATTGATAACTAAATAAATTTCCAGTCAATTGTTTTAAGCGATCGCTTCTGTAGAAAACCGGTGAATAAACTATAGATTTAAATGAAAACAAAAGCATTATTTGCTAACTAAAGACTAACTTATTGTTTAAACACTGAATACACTTGAACTCAAAACGACTATCAAATCAATACAATTTGTTATTTTATAATAAAACACGGAAAACACTAATAAAGTAATTTGTTATAAAGTTTAATTATCTGCAAATACAATAAAGTTTTATATTTATTAAAAATAATTACATAATTAATTGAATTTATAACAATATATCGATAATTAGTTAATGAATATATAAATAATGATTATATAAACAAAGAGTACAATAAAGTGATGGCTATAACTGTGAGACACTTCAAGAATCATCACAATTATTGTCATCGTTTTCATTAACTTCGGGCTCATCGAAGTCACGGACCTTCACGTCCTGTTCCTCATCGAACTGCACGACATTGTCTACTGTTATGAGGATATCGTTGAGAGAGTCCTCATCCAAGACACTGATTGGCATGAATTTGATCAAAGAGTAGTCGTCCACGAGTTTACCGAACGCTTCCGTCAGCTTTCGGTGCTTTTCTCCCCATTTGTCGGACACCCGATCCTCCAAGAGGTAAGAGTCGGGCTCTAAGAACGTGTCCAAACGTTTTCGGCCCGATTTGTCCAACAAATCAGTTTTGGTCAACAGATTAACGACCGGTACGTCAAGACTAATCATCGCCGAGAGTGAGACCATTAGAGCGGAGAAGAACTTTGACATATCGGACACGAACTGCGAGTCCAACAAAAAGATGGCGCAAACTCTGAAGTCGCGGGACTGAAGGAAAGCGATGAGTCGTCGCATCACATCCAGATGTGTGGACAACTCGATCTGTCCCGCGGTGTCGAACAGTAGATAATCGTTGTCCACATCGCCCAACCGTTCCTCAAACCAATCCATATTCTCCAACAGATACTCCATCGCGAAGACGAGTCCGCCATTGGGTCCGAACCGGAGCTCGTCGTCGGCCATAATGTCTTCGACAGTAATGAGTTCGCGAATGTCGGCCACGGGTTGATAGTCGAAGTGCTCTGCGGCCGGATCTAAGTTGAAGGCATCGACGGTGCGGTTCATCGCCTGACAGTGTCTGACCATCGCTGACACGTACGACGACTTCCCACTCCCCGCCGGACCGATGATTATCTGCGCGAAGCGTACCATCGATTCCAACACTTCTTCTTCGGTGGTCTCTTGTCTTCACTGATGTCTTCGCAAACGGTTTGATATGAAAACGTTTGAACTGAAGATCGCATTAAAAAACACATGACTTTCGCAATGTTTAAGACATTCGTCCAAAAGATGGCAAACATTTCAATCAAAACATTGGTTTTTGCTTTCGATTTGTTTCTTAACTTTTGCTTTGATTTGAAATTGTTTTTCAATGAAATGTCAATCAATTGATCCAAACGTTTGCCGTAATTATAATCTCATGCGATGTCTATGTCTTCGTTAATGAGATATAAATCGAGATTTAAAACAATGAATAATATATTAGTTGTGAAAATGTTTTCAAACAAATCGTCAGATTTGGACAAAAATGGTGTCAAATGTAATGACCAGAAGAAGAAGAAGTCGAAGACAATTAAGACAACTGTCAAAGAGTTGCCGAAACCACCGGAAAATTGTTGTCAATCGGGATGTGATAATTGTGTTTGGATTCAATACGTCGAAGAACTCGAAGAATATTTCAAAGACGGCGGCGTTGAGGCCCACAAGAGATTGGATCAATTGATAACCGATCCGTCGCTCAAAGCCTTCGTTAAACTTCAGCTCAAAAACAAGTCAAAAGACAATTGATGTCAACAATCGGTTTATTATATAATTATTGAAATATTTGTTTTAATTATCATTTATTTTAGTGTAAAAAATATCTATTCATTTGATTTCAACGCCAAATGCATTGAAAAATGTATTTTTAATGTAAAAAGTTTTTGTCATAAAAAAGTTATAATAAAGATATGAATGAACTGATAGTGTGAACACATTTTAGTGACAATTATTGTTATAATGATTGCATTAAACGTAATGTAAATTACATTATATTCTGTAATTCACTCCACATATAGTGAACGCCTACCATAAAACTTATTGCACACATCAGTCGTTCATAAATAACGTACAAAATTCAATGGGGAGGGGGAGAGAGGGGAGGGAGGGGTTGGCTGTGGAGATGAGGGGGAGAGGGAGTGAGTGAGGGATGAAATGAGTTGAGTTGTATGCACACATCAGTCGTTCATAAATAACGTACAAAATTCAATGGGGAGGGGGAGAGAGGGGAGGGAGGGGTTGGCTGTGGAGATGAGGGGGAGAGGGAGTGAGTGAGGGATGAAATGAGTTGAGTTGTCGGACGTATTGCACGAGTGAACCACTCATAACGTAAGCCATCAAAACGTAAACACAATTTGTAAGCAAAACATCGTTTGAATTGTTGTCTCAAACATAAAGTGAAGTGTTTTTGGGATTCAATAGTGATTTCATAAAATTAGCGGACAATACAAACATGTCTTCAAATGCCACTCAATTAAGTCAACAACAGTTTAAGATTGTGTTATTAGGCGAGGGATGCGTTGGGAAGACATCACTGATGTTGAGATACTGTCAAAATAAATTCACGTAAGTGTTGGGCATTTTTGATGATCACCTCATTTGATCCGTGCGTTGATTGCAGTACTAAATGGTTGTCTCTGTCTTTGTCTTTTGATATATCAGTGAAAACCACGAGTCGACACTTCAGGCGTCCTTTTTGACCAAAAAGTTTATTATAAACAACACTCGCGTTCAGCTCTCCATTTGGGATACGGCCGGTGAGAGAGAGAGAGAGAGAGAG